TTTCCATCCCGTTTGCCCTGAAAACATTGTCAAAAGTTCGAAAAGAATTCGCTCTCACGTCGCCAATTCTCCTTTTTTTCAACTTCAATACAATTTCATAGGAAAGACTTGAACTGCCGGAAAAGAATTCTTTCGGGTTCATCTCGAACGCCTACATCGATCCCATTTTAAAATACATATTAAAGTGTAACAGCATTGAATGCGAACTTCTTTTCTGTGGGTGTATATTCACCAAGAATTTTAAAAAGCGAATCCTTTTCGAGTCCACAACGATCAGCGTATTTGAGATGTCTTTGTCTCTTTCCAACTGTTGCTCCGAGCCAGCCTAGGCCCAGTTTCACCAAACGTCGCTTAACTTTAATCTTAATTTAATTCACGTTTGTCTCCTTCTAAAGCAACAAGTTGGAAAGAGACGAAGCTCGTGCTTCGGCGTCGCAGAGAGCCGGATTTCATAACTGGCCGTTCATGCACAGAAGCAGATGGACGTGATCGATTGCTACCAAATCTCAAGCGACGAGAGAGGAAATTGTCGGGGCGATACAGCCTTTCGTAAAACGCTCGAAAACTTACACTCCTTGTGACGTACAATTATTTTCCGTTTATTGCTAATAACTCGACAAAATGCTTTTTCTTTTCTTTACAAAATTGCTCTCCTACAAAGATAAAGAAATAGTCAGACTTACCTTAACACATTATAACTTACGCGCCGCGAGGACGATCGATCATCGATCTTCGAATCTCACATTCGCGACATTTAGTGTACCGAGTAAGAATAACGTATCCTAAGATCATCCCAACCCGAATGACGCACGCAATGATTTATGCAGCTCGCACAAGTAAGGGATATACAGCTTGCCCTTTATTACTGGCTCTAGAACGTAATCGCTGGTAGCGCGAGTTTAGCATTTTAATGATCGCGTAAAAATGGTGAAACGCCGCTTACACAACGAAAATCGCACGACACTTGGCGGAGGACACTTCCGTCCTCTGATCTCCCCGATCCCTAATTAATCGATTTGTTGTTTCATTCCCTTTTCCTTTTACCTTAGTTGCACGTCGTTCGACGCGGGGACCGAGCGCGGTTAAAATTTCACTCGGCTCGATTCACCGAGCCAGCCTAGGCCCAGTTTCACCAAACATCGCTTAACTTTAATCTTAATTTAATTCACGTTTGTCTCCTTCTAAAGCAACAGTTGGAAGGAGACAAAGAACGAATTAAGCCTGAAGTTAAGCGACGTTGACGAGACCGAGCCTTAACTGTTTGACCGCAAACTACTATTTTTGCAAAAAGTATTTGCGCTCTTTACTAGAAATGCAACAAACGCAGTCGCTGCTCGACGACTCAATTACTGACGTGAAAATCAAATTGTATATATGATCATACACGTCATAAATGTCAAAGATAATGTGCTCATCAATTTTTAAAAAAATTGCTTCATTTTTCGTGTTTGACGCGTTAGACTTTATGTCGACGAATTAAAGTCTTACTTTCTACTCATTTAGCGCGGTTAGTCGATCTTTGTGTCATCTTTAAAAGAAAGAGCGTTCGATTCTTGGAACATACACAACGTACATCTTAAATAAGAACAAAATAAAAACTGCTTATTTACACAAGTAGAAAGATACATCGCGCATACATTTTATGCCGCGGGTTTCGCGCCGCTCGATCAAACGACATTCGCGGTCAACGGTCAGGCGGGAGGAATCTCTCGCGGATCTTGCGAGTCGAGGACGGTCCGCCGCGATAAACCGCGAATTAGACTCTCGTTCGAGCCTAACTTCGAAATTATACACCGGCTTCGATCCCCCGTTTGAGATACGCCCCGTGCCGTCACTCAAGCCGCTCGCGTGTGCTTTACTTATTTACACGTACGTTTCGCTTGGCATGTTACACACTCTCGGTTCTTTCGAAATGTCAGAAGCCGCCGTGATCGAAATCGAAAACTCCTGAGGGTGGCCTTTGCGAAGAGGGCGGCGCGCACCCCCGGTGCCTCGAATCGCGGCGCGGTGGCTCCGAGAGATTCAAGAGCCACGCGGAAAAACGATATTAGTCTCCGCTCGATGCGCTTAATCAGTAAGGAACCAATTTCACCGACGTCGCTTAACTTAAAGCCTAGGCCCGGATTCACCAACGCCGCCTAAGGCCCGGTCTAGAATGAGTTGTTAGTCAGAACTATATGTCGGTCCTTTTTCTACCACCCAGAAAGGAAAAGGATCAACATATAGTTCCGACTTCTGACTAACAACTCATTGTAGACCAGGTCTAACTTCGATCTCGGCTCAACTCATTCCTTAGTTCTTCCTAAAGACTGAAAGAAACTAGAAAGAGACAAACATGAATTAAGCTAAGATTGAAGTTAAGCGACGTGAAACCGGGCCTTGGTCGGTTCACCCTTTGTCTCCTTCCAACTGGTCCCTTAGAAAGAGACGAACAATTAATTAAAGTTCAGCGACGTTGGTGAAACCGGGCCTAGGAGCCAGTTTTACAAACCTCGGTTAACTGTCAACCAGAGAGATTAGCCGAGTCCCTATCCTTTCTTATATTATTATCTAAGAGACAGAAGATCGATAAACTTCCCGTTAACAGTTAGCGACGTCTGTGAAATCCTAAACTGCCCGTTTCTACCAATGCAGATTAACTTCGATCTCGGTTTACATTGTTATCTTTTTCTAGTTGTAAAAATGAGAAAGAAAAGGTAATTTACACCGAGATTAAAGTCAATCATTTTTGGTAAGAAATAGACAAAGGACAGAAAGAGATAGAGAGAGAGAGAGAGAGAGAGAGAGAAAACGAGAGACGTGTACGGAGTACGTTATGCTGCAAGTCTCCAGAAATATCGCAAGTCGCTCTTATCATCTACGCACCGCGAGGAGAGCCGCCGCTCCCCCTCACCCCCCTCGCGGCCGCCTTCCCGTCGTTGATTACATAGTATTGCTGAAAGACATGCTGACAGTATGAACTTTCGATTTTTGGTTTTATTCGTAGATACAGAGTGCCTCTCGCGCGGACCCGCGCTCCCCGAATCACCCCGAATCATCAGCTCCTAAACTAGCGGAGAACTTATAGCGACGACAAAAATGTAAATTTGAAATATGTTTCTTTTTTTTTTCATTTTCTTTCCCACTACACACGTTGCAACATGTCACGATGTCTCGTTACACACGCAGCTCGGTTTGATACAACTACGTCGTTACACGTACAAAAATAACGTTTTCTATTGTTAAAATACGTTTCAACGCATACTCAGAGTTCAGAATTAACTAATTCGATGGCCGTCGCCACTGCGTTTTCCCCCCGGAGAACTGGGATCCAAGATATCCCGACTGTCGTACATGAAACTACAGTTACATTGTCACATGTAAAAAAAAAAAGAGCGTAGCATAGATATATATTAATATATTTACTGTGTATACACACGCACACGCACGTGCGCCCGCGCATACGTACATAGCGGGTATCGTGGGCGTGTAACGCTCGGGGGACTCTCTCTTCCTTCGCGCGGCTCGAATTTACATTTACAACGTTCCGCGCCCGAGTCCATTAATTGAACAGCATTTAACTCGTATCCGGGCGAGCTCTCAATTCCTCGAAAAATTTTAAGTTACCCCCTAAAAATACGTTTCCTAACTTGATAAGTTTATACATGTAGTCTTTGATTATACAAAGATAAATATATTTATATATTTATATTTATATATTTATATATATACGTGTAGTATTTTTTTTTTTCACAAGACTCTCAGAGAGAAAAAATATACGTTTACCCGTTTGCCTTTAGAAAATGGACCTCCCGGATAAGGGTTAATCGGTGAGAATTAATTTCCGCCGCGACATTTCATCCCCGTCGCACGGAGGCTCCGGAAAACGGAGGCTGGATCGCCGCCGACGTTGTCCCTCGGGGGAGTAATGCGCGCGCGTGCGTGTGCGATCGCGTTTTGAAGTGTTTATAGTCCCTTCGGAAGTTAAAGATAAAAGCGAGAAAGTGTCTGCCGCTTCCCTACTTAAACGTCACCGCTGTCGTATAACGCTAGCTAACATTTTGTGCAGGAGTCGCTTGAGTGAGAGAAGACCTCGGAGGAAGTCCTTCGAGTGAACATTTACTACCTTTCGACGTGTGAACGACGTGATTGGTGTGCATACCCTACGCACGCATTTATGCATCTATCCTCTCCGTTACGGACAGAGGGGGAGAGAAAAGAGAACATCATCCCTCGTCGCTTCATCGCGGACGTGCGTGACACAAGACTACGACACGATGCCCACAACAGCCTTTTCTGGCGCGCCAGGCTTTGACGATCTTCGGAGGAGAAAACGGAAAAGCGGTGTGACACGCGTAAACGCACGTGTTCGCGCCGGCGTGAATCAAGCGAGAACGGAAATTAAGTTTACGTTAAACAGGCACATATATGTATGTCAGGGTTGGGTAGTGTCTAGTTAAAAAGTTAAATAATTTTAACTTAACTTAGTTACACGAACCGTTAAATTTTAACTTCATTTAGTTATATCTTATCGGTAACTTTTAATTTACGTTTCATAAAATTAGCTATGCCATTAACAAAGATGTTGCAAGACAGTTTCTCTGTTCCAAGATTCACTCTCGGCACTAAAAATCTGCAGTATACGTTACATGCATGTATAGATCTTCAGCGCTGGCAGTGAATTTCCGAACACGGCCGTTACACGGGACTTTGATTCTCAAACTCACGTGAATTTGTTTGCATATGAAACAGACCATGTTCCATATAGTGTGATTGGTTGTCCAGACGCTGTTCGTGAAATTCAATACAATTTACGTGATCGCGAGTCTCTAAGACTCTGTGTAAAAATAAAACAAATTTAACTTTTAACGTTTTAATTTCTTTTTATTATTAACTTAACTTTAAATTCACTGAATTTCATTATGGGTTAACTTGTATATTAACCAAGTTAAATTTTCAAAGCTGTTAACTTTAATTTAACTTAGTTAAAAAAAAAAGACGACTCATCCAACCCTGATGTATGTATATTACAATGTATCTTTATTACCTAAAATATATATGCACTTTGAAAATATCGTCGAAAGACTTGCAGGCAAGGGGCAAAACGACATTCGGGAGCCAACGACCGGAAAGGTGCGAACGAAAGTGCGTCCGGGGACCGCCGGCGATCCTACTGAGCAGGTTTCGATGAAGTAGATCCGATACAAGACTGAGCAGGTTGGTTGTTAAAAAACATATCGCCGGTCGCAATAACAAAATGAATGCTCTAACAAAGTTTCGAAACAACAATGGCGATCAGTTTCCCCGAAATTAATTTCGATTCGACTTGTACAATAAGTCGTTTTGGGTGAATTTACACGAAGATCCTGACGCGCGGGATAATCGCGATAACAACAACATGTGCGACGTGAAACAAAATGACTTATAAACCATCTTGGCCAAATCATTGCTGTATTCGCACATATTCATATTATAGCTCTATCTATAGTACATAAAACAATAACACTAAAAATTTAATTCGAGTAATTCTATTTTAATTAATATAGTATATATAGTAAATTATTGTATTTAAACGCACGCTTACGCCTAGCTGCATACGATTTTCTTATTTGTGATTTCCTCACTTTTTCTTCATTAATAATATATATAATATAATAATATACTATGTCGCATATAAAAAACAATTACTTAATATAGAGTACAAGATCGTTCCTTAATTAAGTTTACAGATTTTTTGTTTTCCGCAACTATTTATATAAACGTAAGACGTCATTCATCTCTAAAATGAACATGCTTCCGCCGCTCCCAGAATGATTACAAAAATCAAGATACATAGAGAAATCTTCGCGCCGATTCGTCAAAATAATATCAAGGAAGAAATGTACTTTCTTCCATCGTTAGGATTGCGTTAAACGAAAAATTAAATAGAATTATTAACGTCCGCGAAAGATTAATTCGGCTCGTGAATTTGCGTTTTTCTTTTCTTTTTTTTTCCGAAGCGAATAGAGCGCAACGTACAATAGTGCGTTTATTACCCCTCCCCGCCGTAATCACCAACGAATTTCGACTACATCTAATCAGATTGGGTGTTTGATTGATTCTCCGTTGTTGAATACGCCTTTGACACAACTCGCGTTTAAATGCAAGCGAATTTGATTACACGTTACCCACCGGTGTGCCGCGCGACACGCGAGTCACCGCGAGAACGTCCCGACTGCATGACGACACGAACGACGACGCTGACGGCAGGCATCACAGAAGCGTCGCTTTCGCATGAAACAACCTCCGCTTCCGTCCGTCACCCACAACGGTTGTTCTTCTATTGCGTCGTGAAATCGTCATATTGCACAATGCTTGCGGCTAACTAACTAATGATATCGCGACGGTTATCACGATTGGGATAACCAGGAGGCATTCGTACCGAACATCGCCGCGCGTACATCTACTCTCTGAAAGTCCGCCGGTGCATTATCGCTGAAAACAGTTGTAAGTATAGCACTGAATCATTCAGTGTACTTATAACCGTGAATACTCACGGATTTCAGTGACAATGGTTGACGTTTAGAGAGTACGTAACGCGCTAGCCGCGATGAACAACATCCGAGTGGACTCGCAAACGAAGTTAAATTGGCGCCGGATAAAAAGAAACAAAAAAAGTAAAAAGGGGAGAAAAAGTAAAGGGATACAGAAAATGATATAAATAGTCACAACAATGTCAAAAACGTGACATGGCCGGCCACGGTATATGCGGTCGACCACCGGGAACGGGGGATCAGCATCGTCAACTGCCGCTTTTCGTTCTTGGTCGGCGTAGTAGTTTATCCAAAGTGACCGTCCATCCGATTTAAGCTAAAAATTCATGAGGTGTCATTTTGGCTGGCAGGTCTGAGCGTTCACCTTGTATGTTCGTGTCTGTGGTGTGAGATCGAGCCAAGGCACCGATGAATCCGGCTGCTCTAGCTGAAGAGGCACGCGACATCGCGATGTTGCTGCGTTAACAGAACAATCTGCTCCACGTTCCGCCTCTGCATCCTACAAGATTTCTTCTCTCAGTGTTGTTTGCGACCGGGCAGATTCGCATGCATATCAGAGAAATACAAGAGGCAATGTTAAATAGTACTACGATAACGTTGGAACTGCCGCGCGCTCAGTACCGAAACGATTTTCAAACGACTTTTGGTGCACAGAGCACTTCCTACCTTAATCTTTCTTTGTATGGAGTTTCCATACCTAGATTAAAAGGAAAATCCGCGTTATTTACCTAGAAGAGAGTTCATTCCTTAAACATTCGTTTTATTCTAGAGAAGAGAGAAAGATCTTGTCGCTTTATAAATATTTTATTTTATAAAATCATCTCGAGAGATTATTCACGACATGTTATTTTTCTTTAATCGAATGCAATCTCATAAACATGGGAATTGAAAAAAAAACTTGCGCTACTTCTCCTCTTCTTCAGACGACCGGCTCTTGTCGTCAATCATTCGTCGTACATGCCTCATTCTCGGCAGAGACAAATACGCAAGCGTGTACTTCTCGGTAAATCAATTCGGATAATTTCACAATCTTGTTGAATGCAAACGAATGTTACTCACCATACTCGCACTGGTAGAAGAGGCGGACGTGGCAGCAGAGGTAGGCACCGTCAATATTGGATAATATTATCTACTACTGCAAATCCGCAGGCCCCTAGGCCATTAGTTGACATTAAGCGAACAAGCTCCCTAGCATGGGATGCTGCAACTTCCAACGGCGGCCGACGGGATAAATTACTAGATTCTGTTAACCATAGTAATCGCAACGTTAGAATAACAAGCAAATTTCTGATTCAGTCTTTCAGACCACGATTGCTCGTAGTTGAGTAATGGAAGAGAATTTACTCGTGATGACAAAATTATAAGCAATTTAATTTCCCTTCTTCTCGCAGAGCAATTTGGCCCATTATACGTATATACTTTTTCATGTTATCGCTCCCTTACCAAGAATAGCAGAGTTCAATCTTGCGCAGACTGTCTCTCTTTCCTGAGGATTCAGTTGCCAGCCAACCGGCGAATTCCACGGATTGGAGTATGCTAATAGACTGAAAGCGTCCTGCAACATCTTCTTATTGCTCTCGTTCTTGCCGTACTGCTGTCGCAGATGCACCGACTGTGAGTACAACTGTTTGCCGAATTCCAACATCTTTTCGATCGCCTGCTTGTTGCCGCCGCACAATTGCTTCTTATTACTTTTGTTACATGTCACAGTATCGACGATGTTACTGCTCTGCTGGCTCTGATTGGCACTGTTGTCGATTTCTGAAAAACAACGTTTGCCCGTCCTGAGAACTGTATTCTATTTGACAAACGTAGTCTCGACGGAGAGGCAATTTATAAAAGACCACACGTAAACTTTCGCATATTCTGTTCGACAGTTAACATCTACAAGTTTATTTAATTATTCCACTCGTTATTGTCCTTCACCTACTGTCTAATTTACATTCTTTACTCAACTAGTCGCGATATATCAAGTATATTGACATCTCACCCATATCAACATCTTCCCCATTTTGACACTTGTACCCATTCGAGTCAAGATTACCATTCTGATAGCCGTTACTGTTCTTGATACCATTCACACCAGTGACGCTGCTTTCCTCCATGTCTACGTCATCCTCTATTTGACCATTGACGAACTGTGGGCTGGTACCATTTATCGTATTATTGATATTCATCTCTTCCACGGTACCGGTTGGGTTTGCGGACTTGACGTACGCTTTGGTCGATTGTATCACACTGGTCTGATTGGGATTCCCATTTTGACAGACCTCCGAATCGCTGCCGTTCACCATTTCCACGAACTGGCGGCACTTGAGCGCGAACAGCAGATCCGGGTCCCGGTCGAGAAGACCCGGGTATAACCGATTAGTCGTATCTATCGCTTCGCCGATACGACCAGACAGTATCAGCTTTATAACCCCTGTGGATCATCGTTGAATCTCAATGAAAGGACGCAATACCAGTTTAATAATCGACAAACGCAGCTGTCACTCTTCCTCGAATGTTCAAATGCGATAATTAGTTACGTATCGATAACTCGTTCAGATTCATTTATTGTTCTCTTCTGGGTGTTCCAGGTTCCCCGGGAAAGAGTGTCAACCCCGAGCGAGCGACAGCACAAACAAATACTCACTCTGTCGATTTTTGATAGAGTTGTAATCCTCCTCGAACACCTGACCCGTGCTGCTGGCGAATGCCTCGGCGCTGTCGAGGTACCCGTGATGGACGAGATACGTACACACCATTCTGTCGAATTCGTACAGAGCTTCGTTAACTCACGAGAGATACCGCGAACATTTGGTCCGTGGCGATTTTCTCCCCCGCTAACTTCCTCGATTTATCCGCGCAAGCGTTTCGGGAAGAACTCTCGCAAATCAAGGAGGATCTTAACGGACAACAATGACAAACGAAGGAGGAGCAAAAGCAACGCAAGAGAGTGGAATCACGCACCCGGTTCCCCGTGTCTCGCTTTCTGGTCGTATATGTACCTGTGAAGAATCGCCTGCCACTGCCCCTGGCCGTGGTCTGGCGTGGGATAGTTTATGATCTGTAATCTCGTTCGTACGCGCAGTTCGTTGATCATATCCCCGATGTCGAAGACGAACGGCAACTGTCCGAAATTTGCATCCACCACCTCGCCCGGAGTCTGCAGACCGACCGTCGGAAAGAGATTGGGCTGCGAAAGCGAATGTTAACTAGAATCTTCGTCGTATCTAATACACGAATAATGCCGATTCGGTGATGAAGAAATTTTATCAATAAGTTAAATAAGTCAAAATCTGTACTATTTATAATATGATTTGTGATTCAAGTTTGTATGCGAAGTTTGTTATACAGCAACGTCAGTGTTTTCTGGACCATATCTGGTATTTTTAATAATACAGAAAATTCATTGCGAAAAACATTACCTCAGCCAGGGTTTGAGCCTGGCCTTCCCTACACTCTAGACGGGCGTCTCGCCGATTCGACCACTGAGGCATATACAAAAATACCAGATATGATGTAGAAAACACTGACGTTGTTAATTACTGCTGGCGACATTGAAGAATATTCTTATTAGTTTGTTATATAGACTGTGAGGAAAGAACTTGATAAACGGTATATAAATGAGTTCTCCTCCTATGTGAAAAGATGTGAAAGAAAGAAGGAAACAAAGGGAGGAAATTAATGTACAATATACAACTGAAATTTAAAGAACGAAAGGTGCGAAGAGAGAAAGAGAGCGATGTTGCCTCCGTTCCCACGGGACCTTTGATTCCTTCTTCCCCGCCTTTTACGCGCGTTCCTCTTTTCGGAACAAAGTACCATTTTTTCCCCTTCCGCTTATACTATTTGACGCGGTGAGTGGCTTACAGGAAGGTCCGTAAAGGCGATGCCCAAGTGATGGCCATTCTTCGTGTAGAAGGCGGTGTTGTCAACGAGATTTACGCCGCAGCCGATCACGTCGCCGGTAGTGAAGGTCGGTCCGTAGGGCTGCCCGGTGCCACTTGAGCAGAAACTGTGGCCGTCGTCGCCGTGGTAACCGTACGAATGCTTATCCCAACCGGGAAGTCTATTTACGTTGACGCCCGAGGCCGACAGGCCGATGCCCATGTAACCATCACGTCCCTTGCTCACGATCTTCACCTCGAAGTAGTACAGGCCGCAGGCGGCTGGTATCGAGTGCGTTGTGCGAACGCTGGCAGCGTCTTTGTGAGTTTTGCCGTAACCTGGAAAATGAGCACGGCCCCGACTCTCTTTAGAGGAATCGGTGAATCCGACGACTATAGGTATATTCTGTATCGTATGCGAAAATTTTGGTTACACGAAACATATTAAGAATAGATAGGTGGAGAAAGATAGAGACAGACGGGTGGAGAGAGAAAGAGATAGATAGAGAGAGGCAACATTTGACGAGTGGGATGTGTCCGCTGCTTTGAGATTAAAACCAAGGCCGGCGTGCAGCTCGGAGAGAGATGCAAGGACGAATACCATGCGTTCATACATATCTTCCTGCCTACTCCTCCAGTGCTCTGTAGGATAACACGTAGCTATCAAAATGCGTTAGAATGTACGGAAAAAGATTTATCGAATGCACTACAAATACTATTATATTCTCGCGCTGTTTTTTTTTTCTTACATAAATCGATTCTTATTGTCGTTGCGCATATAAAAGTACAGTAAGATGAGATTATCATGAGGTGAATGCAAGATATTTCATAATTTATTTAAGATGCTTGAAAATTGAATGCAATCTCTTTTTTTCACCTTATCACTTCAAATATTAATTGCTAAAGTTCTTTCGCGTGTTTCTAGAAATCCTAATTTCGAAAGAGGCAGACTTCGCCGATAAAATTGTACTAACAAAATCTATGAACGGAACAGAAAAGGGAGACGAAAGTGGAGGTGGACCCAGAGGTGGAAATGCATTTTTACATGAGAAAGAAGAATCCAATATCTTACATGTCTATGTTTTTTTTCTCTCTCTATTCGTATAACGCGCTCGTTGGAGCAAGTTTAATTACATTGGCTGAACACGTAAGTGTACGTGTCAAGATAAAGGTAAGCGAGAACTATGGTCACCTTCGAGATACGCTATGCGCCTCGGATACGATGTGAAATATTGATTTCGAGCCGCATACATTAGTGCCACGAGGAAAAGCGTGATCTAGAGAAACGCCGCGGAGTCACCGCGGGTGGAAATGGTTCAGGTTCTTTTTTTTCTTTCCTTTCTTTACACAGAGAGAATTCTTTTTTTTAAATTCACCACATAATCGTGGGGCAACCAGACATTTCGAGAGTTTTTGAAATTTTTACCGTACGTTTCACCAGTAAAATGAGAATTTCTTGAATTTCACTGGTAAAATGTGTGGTAAAATTTCAAGAAATTCCGCAAAATGCCACGTTGCCCCACGATTACATGATTTTCGGGGTAAATTTTAAGAGAAAAGTCTCTACACGTGCACTGTATAATATGTAACAATGTTTTCAGTGTGTTTGCAGCGATACCGAGGCAGCGCTAAACAATACTTTAAACAGCAACTTTCGCCGGTGGAAAACGTTAACGTAAGCAGAGAGGACCTTCGGCGCGTGCTTATGTAACGAGATATCACAGTCGTGCACGATACACGGGGTACTCTTCGGGATATTATACAGGCGCGTGCAATTCTTCTCGAGCGCTCGGACGTTAATTTGTCGGCGATTGGGTTTCAGGTCTTTTAATCGCCGTCGATTATCGCGACGGTGACTCCTGTAACTCCCAAGGTCCAGTCGTCCGATGTCTCGTACCACGAGCGAAATTAAGTAGCGGGCGAGGAATGTCAGTCAGTGCCACGAAGACTGTGAATGTTACGAGGTTGCAAATTGATTTGCAGAAAGACACGATTTACCTGGGTAGATGTAAGTAGGGCATTGGGTCATCGCGCGGCACATCGATTGCAATATTACAAGCTTATCCAGGATCTGTGATCTATGAGCGTTTCCGTGTGTGTGTTGGGCGCATGTCTCGCGCCCTTACACAACGTAATACACGTCCGTCTATCTGCTCCGCCGAGCATTATTTATATAGCTTTCGGAGGCTTCTGTCGGGAACATTAAAGAGAATAAAATGAAGAATCCTATTCTTTGTGCAAACAAACGGGCCTCGGCGAACGCCGCTGTAATCACGTAATACCGTTTGACGTAATATCAGCGTCAGTACGGACCGGATTGTTTCCCTGATATCAGTACCTGCTTCATTTCGGAAACAAAGAACCGAGGTATCTGCTTGCGCGAATATCAGAGTACATTTTTTGTATAATAATGCAACTTATTCATCGGCAATGAATATAAATCAGTTTTGAGAGATAGAAAATATCCAGACGTCGTAAATAGTTGAATATTAATGCGCGTAACGCGAAATACTATTTTATCGATATATTAAAGTAAAAAGGAAATGGGGGAGCGTTTGTCTGTAAGTTCTGTACAACTAGATAAATTATCGCAATCGATAACAGGACTAAAAAAAATTAATAATAAACTTGGAGAAACGACGAAGCATGTTTTCGAAACACTCTTAATTGTGGTTCAGTACCTCGACACAATTCTACGCAGAGGCGCGCGCATTGGAAAGAAGCAGATGAAAATTAATTAGCTCCTCGGTGTTTACAGAAACGGCCTGAAAACTCCGTCGAGTCTCGCGAAGACGGCAGGCGCTTGCGATCGCCGAGCTCGCGGACCCCAAAGACCTGGAAGACGAGGAAGCGCCTGGAGCGCGGCGGAGGCCAAGACCAAGTCCGGTGTTTACGGGATCAAAGAGTGTGTGCACGTGTGCGGAGAGACGGGAGGGAGGGAAGAGAAGAGCTAATGGCTAACGGTAGATGCACTATTGCGAGTGACGACGGCGGCGGCCTTCCGCTTTCCCAGGCACTCCCATGCAAGGGAGGCCCCACGTGCAACTCGGCGTTCGTTGCGCCGAGTCGTAAACAAGATTTGCGCCCGCGGATCGCGACCGCCAGCTTGGAGAGTCCACCGGCGGCCCGTGCGAGATCGATTCCCGAATCTCTCGACGAGATAATTACCGCGTGGTTCGCGTGCGAGCGGCAGGTGCCCGGGCCCGACGGCTCTTTGGGGCTCGCGTTCGTTAATTAGCAACGAAATAGTACGGGAGGTTCCGCAGTCAAGCGTGATTGCGTTTTACGATTACCGCTGCGCATAGAATTATCCTGTATGATTGGCAGACGCCTAGGGAACATCGCCCGTGTCTCTCGTCCGCGGCACGATTAAAAATTTCAAATTTGCATCTCTCCTCGAGAGAAACGTCCACCTGTCCGGACGTTTGTTTGTCGAGCCTGGACGAGCGGAAAAATGGGCGAGAAATATAGGCTGCTTTCCTTTTACACAAATCGACACGAGTTCGCGCTAAGAATAGGGTCGTCAGACACGTTTGATTTATAAAGACTTGAGCAAGAAACACGTTTGATTTGTCAAACACAATTGGAAAAGCGTTTGAATTTCAAACACTTATACATAAAAGTGATTGATTTTCAAACACACTTATATCCAATATTGCAGAATCTTATAATATTGTGTTGCTACAACCAAGCACCAGTCAAATTAAACAGGCAAGTAGAAAATTGCTTGACGACCCATGGCTGGCAAGTTCTAATTAAAGAAGTTCATTGCGACAAATATTACCTCAGCCAGGGTTTGAACCTGGACCTTCCTACACTCTAGGCGGTCGTCTCACCAATTCCGAGGCATGTGCCTCAGTGGTGGAATTGCCAGCCCATGGGTGGTCATGCAATTTTCTACATTGGTTAATCAATTACTGGCGTTAAATAATTCTTTACGTTATTTCAGAAAATCAAACACATTTACGCGTGTGACATATCAAACACTTATTATTTAGAGTGTTAACACACCCGAGGACAGTTTTGCCGCTGCGAAGTGGCGAAGGTTTAAAGAACAGGGATTTAAGAAAAGGTCTTGTCGAAAAAAAGATTCTATCGAGATACTCGGAGCGGACGCGTCCCTCGGACAAAAACACGCTCCGACTCCCCTCCCGAGCAGAGACGAAAAGTGTCGATCGATCTTGAATTAAATTTCTAAATGGACATGTGTCGATTTGTGTCAAAAATATCGACTGCGTTAACACTCTAAAAGGAATGCAGCTTTAACGTGCGCGTAAATACAGCGAATAAGTCGCGTGTAAAGAGGTGTACTTTGTAAAAATGTACGAGCCGAATGAGGCGTCTGGCGATTGATCTCGGGCGGAATTTGCCTCGATGGAATTTACTTGAAGACTGCAAGTGGCTGAAATATTTATGCTGTCAACTTCTCCGCGCGAACGATCCAAGACGCGCGGCTACGGCTCCGCGGAGAACCTCAGGGGCGACGATCGAAGTTAAATTAAAGGATTCGCGAGCGACGGATATTATCGACGCGCAGTATGCCTAGGGGTCGGGTTATACGCGTTGCACTTATGCCTCGTGTCCGCCGCGTATTGTAGCTGCTCGCGGCACACGCGCGCGCTTTCCCCTCTGTAGCGGCCAGAATTTTAACGGCGACCGCGACTGCTTAATTATACTGCTCGGCGAGGGCTTATCTTGCGATCGACTTACGAATACCCCTGTCGCGAAGGTATTCGTGCGCTGACGAATTTTATTTTGACTTTAACGCGTCCTGTAACTTTGCTACGATATTATATACAGGAAAGTCACCTATTATGAGACAGAATCCTAATACGGGACAGCGGGATTTCTGTTAAATTAATAGACATCAGTTGATTCCACCAAGAAAAAAGATTTGCGATTGAATTTGGGCGTTGCAAACCTGCTGTCTCATAACAGAGGGCTTTCCTCTGCACCTTCAATAAAAGAGGAAAGGATACAACAAGCCTGTCTCCGCGCGATAATATCGCGCTCCAATACTTAACGCATCGCCCGCGTTCCAATGTTCACTTCGCCGCGCGAATCGAATCGCATTTTTCTTCCGCGTAAAAATGGTGCATGGGCGACGCGGAGATCATCGTTGCGTGTTCTCGCTGGCGAGACGAGCACAGAGGGATCGGCTCGCGCGAATCGGGAGGCTCTCGAGCCGGGAGGAAAAGTATCAATGCAAAAAATAAAAAGGAAGGAAAATGCCGTTGAAGATCGACACGTTTCATTTGCTCGCCAAGCAATCGAACAAACGACGCGACGATTGTTTATCGCTCCCCCCCCCCCCCCTCTTCCCGTCTCTCGCTTCCTCCCAACAATCTTCTCGCGCGCCGGATCAAAGAGAAACAATATTTTCGTTCGCCACGCACGTCGGGCGTGAAACGCCCCGGCCGATACACGGACGCGCATTCACGCCGCTTTTAAATGCCTTTTCTCGTTCCGCGCGTCGCGAGATGCACCAGGGGGGGAGACAGATAAGCGCCCGCCGCTCGTCGCCGTCGCGTATACGTCACGTTGCGGCACACGAGGGATCCAGGATACCTCGAGCGCACGGGGGGAGCGTCAGAGAGGCGAGAAAAACGAGCCCTCGCCATTTCTGGCGCATCGTTGACCCTCGACGCGAGAAAAGAAGCCCGTTCCAGGGGGGGGACTCGCGGGATTTAAACGCGCGCGGCGGCACGCGGCCTTATCGCGTCTCGAATTTTCTAATAACGCTCCTCCTTCTCTTGCTCCCCGACGGATCTTCGCGGAAGATCGCCCCGGCCTGCGATACAATCCGGTGACTAAACGCCGCGGCGGCGGCTCTCCGCTCTCCGCCATTAAGTATCTCGGGCCTCGTGTCGAGTCGTGCTGACGCAGCAGCTTCGCTTCTGCAGTTCCGCCGGACGGCGCTCTTTGTTTATTTAGCGATCTCTCGTTTAAAAAGAACAAAAATGTCGATTCGCCCTCGAATCCGCGCGCTCCAGATATTAAGAAAAGGGGGAAAAAAAATCGAAGAGAGTGGTGGCTCGCCTCGGATTCGGGAAAATCTTCATTGCGTCACGACGTTTCGCGTCCATTTCCACTGTCACTTCGCGCCTTCGTATTTTAATCCTAAAACTTGATCTTTAAATTACAAAAAAAACTAGAAGGAGAAAGTCAAACCGAGATCAAAGTCAATCTGCATCGGTGGAAATGGACGTTGGACGAGAACGGGACGTCTCCAGTATATCGACGCGAAATTTTACGTGGACAGACAGAGAGAGAGAGGAGGGGGGGGGAGGTCGAAGCGATTCGTCCGAGACTTCGTACCAGAAGTCGACCTCACTCCTCGACGCCTCATGTGAAACCTCGGTCGAGTCCACGTATCGTTTTTGCGTCGACAACGCAGCTGTCATTGACATTGTGCGTTCCGTTTCTCTCTCTCTCTCTCCATCTCCCTCTCTCCCTCCCTCGCTCGCTGACATTTCTTTTTCCCAGCAGACGCGCAACCGACAGGAAACCGACGAGCGTCCCTTGAGAAAGCATATCGCGAGACGTCGACGTCGACGTCGACGTCGACGTCGACGACGGCAGCGACGCGCAGAGGCCCGACCGCGGGGGGGACTGGCTGACTGATCAGCTGATTCCTTTGTTTAGGTCGCTGACACACACGCTGAAATAGCGCCCTGCCATTTTCAATCGATCGACCGTGTGCCTGTCCCGGGGAGCGCAGCGAGGCCCGACGCGGGCACGGGGCCGCGGCGAGTCCGGGAGGCAGCGGCGCGGCGCGGAGGCCCCGTGCGGGCCGAGGAGGACGCGAGCGCAGCACGCGCGCGGCCGCGGCACGCGAGCCGAAGGAGGCGCGCATCGGTCTCTCTCTCGCGCGCGCGGAGGTCGCGCGCGCTGACGGGCTACCCACGTACCTTTGTAGTGAACGCGGAGATTGTTTTGCGACAGGCCGATGTAGCTGTACTTGTCCTTGGTGCTCCAGGAGCGCGGCAGCGGCGTCTTCTCCTCGTCGACCATCGGGTAGAGCAGCTTCAGCCGGTCCACGGGCTGGCTCTGCCCCGAATTCGTTTTCCCAGGCTCCATAACACTCCGTTCATCGCTGGTGGCGGCCATCATTGTCATCCGCTGCCCCACTTGCCCCGCTTCTGGCCCGCCGTATCCGCGATCCGCGATTCCTGGATGCGAGGTGCCTCGCTGCGCACGTCGCACGCGCAACTCTCTCGCTCGGCACCGCCGCGCCGCCACCGTGCGTGGCGAGAGAGAGAGGGAGCGCCACCTGCTTGCCGTCGCGCGTGCGCCCCGCCCAGTGATCCGAGATTCGTAAATAAATTTACCGACTGTAGGGGCTGTCCGCAGCAAATGACACGAATCAACAAGTATCGCGCTGTTTTTACGATCTGCGTTGGTTTCATTCATAAATACTTTTTTGCATAATATTCCCTATACCTTTCTTGCAAGGGCTCTGTCTGTGCCATTGAGTTCAAAAGAATGCATGCGCTGCTAAGGGGATGCTGGAGTGATTCTGCACTTTTGCACCTTTCTAACCTAGAAACTGTTAGTTCGCGGAAACATATGTGTAATATACGAATTCATTGGCTTACGTGTACAGATCGAAAGCAGCTCGCTATTCCGGCTGAATTAAAGAGCCATATGGCATCCCTGAAACTAAGTTTGTAAGTCTAATAAAAAATAACAGTGAGCGATACACGCATACGGTACATACAGTATGTGTGTTGCTCGCTATTATTTTTTATCAGACTTACAAACCTCAGTGATGTCATATTGTTCTTTAATTCAATCGGAATAGCGAGCTGCTTTCGAACTGTACACGCGAGCCATTTAATTTGTATACTACACAAACGTTTCCACGAAAAACAGACAGTTTTAATTGCAAAAGGTGCGAAAGTGCAGAATCACTCCACAGCATCCCCTAAAGCCC